GTAGTTACATTTTTTTTCTTTTTTCATTTGAAAGCACAGCATCTATCTTTGCCTTTCCCCATATTTCCTTCTTTTATGCTCTTTGCTTTCAGACACGTTTGCAACACTCCAGTGAAGCTAATGGATTTTTGATTCTTTCACCAAACACATTACGCTCTCTAATAAAAAAGCCTGAAGAAAAGAAGGGAAAGGGATACAATCTAAACTATTAGGCCTAAATATAAGTACATCATGATGGGGGCTCTGCTGGTGCAGGAGTTAACTTGTGCTGCTCTAGTATGACACCTAGTGGTACTCCACGATTCGGTTGGAGGTTGTGCAACTTTAAAAAAAATATTCTTATTCATTTTATAGTCAAAGCGGTAATAAAAAGGACCAATGCTCAATTTGGTACCACATACAGCAATAATTACAGAACTATATCATTTCTGTTGTGTGAGATTGTGTAGCTGCAAAATCAATTTAACATTTTACCAATAAATATGAAGGGAGCTGTATCTGTTTATTCAAAGAGAAGAAACCAACTGGAAGTAAAATATATTAAACTCAGATTCACAAAGGAGCCTTCATGTAAATAAAAACAAAAGGAATCAACCTATATTTTTTATAGTGAAGCATATATCCAAAACTGCATAGTCAGACTGCACCATGTGAGCCATGCTGGCTCTTTTTTTTTTTTTTAAGCATGGTTCTTCTGTAGTTTCAGATTCACAGCAGTGGGAGTGAATATTTTATGCTGATCTGTGAAGAGGACTCCTTGATCAATTTGATTCATTTTCACCTCCATATTTTAAAACTTTTTTTTCCTGGAAGAATCTTCATTTCCTTTTCATGCAAGTGGTAAAAAGTATGTCTTCTGTACTCTCTGTAGGTTTTAATACCTCTTTAATTCCCTTTGAAGTTGGGAAACAGGCAGAAAATGTGAATTTTGGGAATTAAGAACTAAGCTTTATACTTTGGTAGCACATATATAATATTTATCAAGTCTACAACAGCTCTATTGATTTTCTGCCACATGTCTGCCATTATAATGAAGACAGCCGATGTCACAGCCACAGTTTAATGAGTGGATGTTCTGACAGCCTTTCTTTGAGTAATTCAAAGCGAAAAAGCAACAATATTGGTTGAGACTGCGCTTTTGAATTTTATTATGCAAACAAAATAACTGTTCAGCAATGAAATAATGATGAAATCGAAATAATTTTTGGTTTTTGTCATATAATTTGTCACATTTGTCATTTTCATCAATAAGTCTTCTCTATGTCACACAGAATATAGCTTCACTACAACTGCATAGAAAATGTATGTATTTTAGGCGCAAGTCAGTTTTGGAAAATGTTTCAAATGTTCACAATGAACTTTAAATTTTGGGGGGTTTTTTTGCTTTAGAAATGATATTTTCCTAAAAAACAAAACAAATGTTGAGGGATCTAAATCTATCCCGGCTGCAGCGTCTTTCTTTTGTTTTCTTCTGACAGACAGAGGTGGAAGGGATTTCTTTTAAAGAAGCCTCAGATAACACAAAATAGCAGATGGAATGACATTACTGATTCAATTCATACACAGCAAAGAGATAAAGAGCCTCAGAACTTCTGAAGCTTGAAGAGGCTTACAAAGTAATAAAGGTGAATATGGTTTATTAAAGAAGGTGGGTGTTTATCTTAACGTTCTGTGCAGGCGCTGCACAGAACGTAAAGTCCAATGTCACAGCATGATTTAGCTAACAAAAATAACTCCAGTGCCACTTTTTTCCGTTTTGACTCTCATTCCTCAGCTTTGTGGAGGAGGATTAATCATTTTCTCCTTAGGAAAAAAGATATAATAAAGCAAAGAATGACGTCAAAGGGCAAATGGTAATAGAAAGTCACAGAAAAAAGTAAACCGAAATGAAATTTGTAGCGACTTGCAGAGATATAAGCAAGCCTCAGATTTACACCTAAATCAACACCACAAACGTATGCTGCAGAACAGTCCAAAGCAGGCAGCATGTCTGTGAGATCCCAAATTGCTTTGATTCTTTACACATATCAAGAACCATTTCTATGTAAATTTGCGGCTCTTCTCCATCCCTTGACATTGTCATTCAATGCTACTACAGCCCAAATTTTAAATCAGACTCTGACGTTGTTGAATACAAATGATGATAGAGCCTGAGCAAAGAGGCCTTTCACGTGCACGCCTCTGCCGTGCCAGGCCGTTGCCTTGGAGGCACATGACGGTCAGATGAATAACACGTCTCCTATGAAACCACTAAAAGACAATCAACAAAGGTACTGTGGACAAAACTTATGTATGTTTTTGAAAGTAGACTATTTATATTTGCAAATATTTACATGCAAACATAGGTGGGATTACAACATCTGTCATTCTATAGATTTTTTTTTAATTGTGGAAGAAAAAAAAAACCCAATGATACAACCTTTCTTGTACACAGCTGTTACTGTTTCGCTAGCTGGTGGAAAAGACCTGACATTGTTAAAAATCACCAATTTAAGTCCAAATGACTCGCCGCTGTTTTGATTTTCTGAGTTCCTGGAAAGCCATAGATTTCAACAATGAGTATGAATGCCAGTATGAGTTAATCACTAACGACTCAGATGAATAATACATCCACAGTCAGACGTTATGTTGTGAGAAATCCCCATGTTTTCCACCTCGATGTGCAGAGAGCTGTGTCTCTTGGAGATGATGGGCAGTCTGTCTGTGAACTACAGGCAGTCCTCTCTGTTCTGTCTCAGCTTCTTTGCTTTGTTATTCATTTCCTCTGTAAGAGCAAAGCAGTGCTGGCCTTTTTATTGTTTCTGCGCTCTCCGTAGCCGTTTCCAGCTGGGCAGGAAAGATGCTTTTAAGGCGGTTCTTGATATGGTAAAGGGCTGAGCATTCATTTTTCCTATTGAGATGTTGCAGACCCACTGAGCATGTCTTTATTTAGCCTTTCAGACACACAAAGCAGGCGACCAAAACTAGATTTGTGGTTAAAAAAAAAATTTCTCTGATGTAATTTTTTTCTGCATGCTTTAAAGCTGTGGTTTGGAATCTGCTCAGTATTAAAGGGTCCAGTGTGTCATTGAAAATAACGCCAGCCTGAGGCATGTCTAAATAATCAGTTGCTTAGGCCTTGGGTAATAAATATTTGTGTATAAATAATGTATCATAAACAGTGTAAAAAAATGTTAAGTGTACATTTTATTCTAAATATTACCAGTGGCCATTTAATGTATTTTAAGAATTAAACAAGACACAGCAGGAATCTGCAACTTGGCTCTTACATTCGCTAATGTGGCATTTAATAACTTTGGACAAAAATAATAATGAATTAACCAGTATATTAAAATGTCAATGTAACAATTAAATGAATAAATAACAGTACTGTTCTGTTTTTACAACAATAATGCAAGAATACTTTAGTGAGGCTGTTTTTTTGTCTTCAGATTGAAAACTATAATTTTCTATAAAGTATGGATGTGCCATTTAAGAAAATGTAATCATTCCTTTTCATGTAAAACATTAGTTTGTAAAGTACAAACAAGTGGCCAAAAATTGTTCTTAGGGTAGTAAAGGTTGCTAATTCAGATAGAACAGAATGTAGCTGACGTTACAACAGCAAGTCCCTTAATTTGTGAAATTTCTATCCATTCTTTGGTGAAACTATCTCAAACTAATAATTTGTGTGTACAACATCTGGATCCATACATCCCTATAGCATAAACTGGGTCTACTCATGGTTTCCCATATGAACCTTGTTTTTATAGGCCCAAAGACACTGGGACTCTTTTTCTTGTGGACCTTAGATTGGTGGGCTCTGATCTTTTTAAATATGCCTTTAATTCCCTGGCCTTGTTTTCAATATACTGTTGGTCTTGGGTTGTTGTGAGGCAGTTTTTGATTTTTATATGCCTCACCTCATGAAAGAATGTCACCTCATGAAGGGAGTGTATTGTCAGATCAAAGCTCTGTGCCTCTGTAAATACCTTGGCTACCTCTCGGTGAGCTAAGTCCACCTTCCATTACCAGCAACATGACTGGCATCGCTGATTTCCTCATCTTCTCCCGCTCATTCTCCTCTCCACTTCATAGCCCAGCCCAGTCCTCACGCTCAGACAGAGAAACTCATTATAGCTACGGATTAGATCGATCGGTATGGAGGGGGGGTTGCCCAGTGGAGAGGCAGTATGCATGGGCCAAGCAATTTATGCCAACAATGGAGCTCATCTCTGCATATCCTGACTGCAAATCACTCCCAAGCAAACCAGTGGGTGAAAACACACTTGCTCCTGCACAGAAAAACAATCATGGGTGCACCACTCTTTATTTAAAATTTTATTTATACAGTAAGGCACTCTTAAAATTTAGTTTTAAATGGGGCATCACGCTTTCGTAAAATAATTTGTACCATCAAAGAATTCACTCTAAAAAAAAAAGCCCTGATTTTTTGCCATAAATGAATAAATAAATTAAAAAAAAACACCCAATGCTACAACAATATCTAACCTCTTACTGGGAAATCTGCTGCACACTCCCAGACTCCCAGCAGTGGACCATTATCCTTCCTAACATATTCTCAAAGCCCCAAAATCTCTCTTCTAAGTGGTTTTCTCTCTACAGGAGGGCCGAGCCTCCTTCCATCACCCTGGAAACTAGAGAAAGTAAACACAACTGGGATTGAGTTGTTGCTCCGCTGCCTGTCTTCACGGTAGCCTCATCTCGCTTCTTCAGGACCCTTGGCCCTATCTTTATTTCCCAGTGGAGTATTATTACTTCCAGTACCTGGTTCACCTTACTCAGCCTTTGCCGGTGGATGTGCATGAGTGTATCCATGTGTCTGCACCCAGTGTTTTGAGGGGTTAATAACAGATTAGGCACCAAAGCCATGAGTAGAAAAGCTGATGTAGCTTTCCATAAATTACTCACCTTTTGTCTCTACTTCTTCCTTATTTGTGCATCTTTATTATTAGTTCTGTGTGGAAATAAATGGAAAATCTGTGTGGCTAATCCCTTACCTGGTTAAGAGTGATAATGTTGGTCTCAGCTGTTAGCAGTGCAGAACTTATCACAATTGAAGGATTTTGCATCTGTTTCCCCTTAAAAGAAGAGAAATAGTAAGAGAAATTATCACAGGAGACAAAATCCCTGCTCTTCCACTCACTCGCTTGTATTGAGTATGTTTCAGAAAACAATACAAAAATATCAGAACTCAGTACAATGCCAACTAAACTCATGGCAAAGTGCTAACTACAGCAGCTTATAGTCACAAATAAAAAGAACAGAGGCTTCCCTTCACACCATTTTTGTATTGCCCTTGTTTACATGAAATCCATTTATCAGTTTTAAGCATTTTAATCTGAATTATTTAAATGTTTTTTTGTAGTACAGTCAAAACTAAATTTCTAAGCATGAAATACAAATTTGTCTAATCAAAATAATGAAAAAAATACATAACTTGTATTCACAATACTCAGAAATCATAAGCAGACGGTGCATTACTCTTATTTAAACAAATCAAACTACCAGACGCCATAACGGGGTATGAGGCCTCCTGCCGACAGCAATAATGCTAAACTAGTTAGCTGAGCACTGCTACGTGATGCATACCAAATACTTACAAACACATACATATATACGGGGATAACACACGTTCACGCGTCATTCTCTTAATTATTTGTATCCCACTAATTACCTTAATGAAGGGAAATAGTAAGAAAAATGATCATAGGAGACGAAAGTGCTGTTCTTCCACTCACTCGCTTGTATTCAGCTTGGGAAACGAGAACGCGAGTGCCCCTAGTGGATATTGTAAGTCATAGCGCTAAACTAACCTCTCTTCCATACAATTTAATTACTTTGTCTTTTGTCTTTTTGCACATTTTAAATCAAACTAAGTAATCATATAAGTGCAGACAATAACAATAAATAAAACTAATCTTACTAAATTCAAATTGATCCGCATTATACTCAACAGCATGTTTATGTCAACTTAAGGTAACATAGCTACCTGTTAGACACTTAGAGCTGAAGTGTTTTCCAGCTCTAAGTGGCTGGAAAACACTTTATACTGCCTCTTTAAGCTATAAATAAGTTAAATAGAGACAATGCACTTGCAGAAGTTGGCTATTTGTTCTACAGTATTACCTGAATGAAAGAAATTCAGTGATTGATTGACCGATAACCAAGTGAACTCACCCAGTTAAGCTCATATTTGGCCAGTTTGATCACACGGTAAGCAGCTGATGCTTCACTAATATAATGGCAAGAGGAAGCTTCTCCACAGTAAGTGATAATCATAATGACCATATCTGTTTCTCTGCTGAATCTCAGCTCACATATTGTTATATCACGAGCACATAAAAGGGGGTTGCTGCTGAATTCTGAGCAAACAATGCGAGACCTAATTAGGACAATTAAGGATGCTGATTACATACCTGAAACATGGCCAACAAACAAAACAACCATCTTTTCCCTTCCCCAAGGACATGGACGGGAAACAATGTGCCCATAATCCCTCCCAGCACATGGCCGCTGTCCTTGGCCTGAGAAGGAGCAGCATCCCACAGGCAAAAACATGTTCTCATCTGGACAGAGGAGATAACCGCACCTCACAGCCGTGAGCCTCCCTCCCACTCTCCCACCAACCTGTCTGTGCAGCACCATCTTTCCTCAAGGCCTTGCAAGCTTTTTAGAAACAACTGTCCATCAGAGCAGAGCACATATGCGGACCGAAACCGCAGCACAATGCCACAAACTCTCAGAGAAGATGAGAGGATGGAGGAAAAGGGGCTGCAGAGTGAGAGCAAAGCTTTGTGTTTTATTCTTTTTTTTCCTCCTTTGCTCTTCTGTTGGCTCTTATTGTGAGCTTCAGCCTTTGATTTGGACAAAGATTGGAGAGCTTAATCCCCTCTCTAAGGGGGAATGACACACAGGGCTTTTATTTGTGACCATAAAATCAGTTTAATTTAAAATCAATGTCTGACTTCTCCATGGTGCGACTACGACGGGTTTCTCAGACAACGCACTGGCTATAGAGATTATCATATTGACTCACTGACAGGGACAAGTGGAAGAAGAGATGCCATGCTGCATGAGGCCACAACAGACATAGTTACAGCCTAGAGCACTTCACAGTATAGAGATCTGCAAAATAAAGCAGGTGCAGCTCAAGTGCATTCTGACTGCTTCACTCTTAGCTGCTCAGATCACATCTCTGAAGCTGCACCGACTTTGCTGTGAATATTTTAAGGAACGTTCGTTTTGTATGTATTTTAAAACACGACTGTTAGATTTCAATTTATTTGGTGATTGACATTGCAGAATGTTCTACTTTTTTTTTGGAACTCCTTGGTTTGCTTCAAAGTATGTTTTGGGAGTTTTTTTGTTGGTGTGTGCTGTTGTTTCTTACAGGTTTGGCACCATTTGAAAAACCTATTCAACCAGCCCACTTTAGATTTAAGATAAACATAGAATTGATTCACAGAGAGCGATATACAGTTTCAGTATGTTGATTTATAACTGATCTGACTGTTGCTTCTGGTTGGAGCTAATCTCTCTGTATAACTATTATGGAGTACTACTCTGCAGTGATGACTCATCAGCTGGGCTTAATCAGAAATAGAGTAAATAACATTTTGTTTCTACGCTCTGCAGCTCTGGACTCAATTCTTGAAAGAATGGACTCTGCAGAAAACAGCTACAAAATCTTACTGTATGCCTTCCATTTTCCAGTAAGGGTAGCTTTTACTACAATTTTTGTCGTATTAACAATATGCAATCAGGTTCAGTTTACATTACCCCTCTGGTAAAAATCTAAGTAAACCCAGTCGGTTACATTTAGCAATTAACAATTCAGCAATCCAGCAACTTGAGCAACTCCAGAAACTCCAGAATCTGGTTTAGTAAAATTTTCTATCTTTTGTGACTTGTTTGGAGCAAACACAAAAAACATAGAAGCATTGATTCATGAGTACTTTCTATTTACAGCTGCTGTCACACTGTTTCCTATCTAGCAAATCTATATAAGTTGATGAAATGAAGATAACTGCATAAAACAACGACGTCTTAGTGAAGTATGTGCTTCTTGTTCTCCCATTTCGAGTAGTGCATTTACATTAGAATCAAGGGTGTGGTATTCCCAGTGTCCCGCTGTGTCAGAATGGATATGATACATTGACTCTATAATCCCCATGCTGTTTTATTTCTATATTTTATGAGTCCATATCAACTAACTGTCTGGAAATTCAATTTCACCGCTAAATGAGTGCTGATAAAGATAATTCTTAACTGAATTAATTACAAAGTGGCTTAGTTTCACTTTCAGATTTAAGCATCTGGCCTGCAGGGGATTGTGAAACTTTATCAGTGCAGACAGCAGAGAATAGCATGTGGTCAAGCAATACTAATAATGTAGAGTAAACGTGAGAGCCATGGTGATCATGCAGAGAAACTTTTCAGTGTGCAAAATCTGTGATATTACTGCTTTCTTGGTAATTAAGTTGTGCATGTTAGGGTTAAAAGCCTATCATCAAATGTTTCTCTCCAGTGGCCTTGTGTCGTTTAACATCACTGAAGCTAAGATAGATACACAAAGGTGTGATGTGGTGGTAATGAAATTAAGCACACATATCTATAGGCAGCAGTGCTGGCTTAATCTCAGAGACAATTGAGTTTTCAATACAAAAACAAACAATTCCATCTTACCTTGAGGGTGTTCTTCTGCTGCATTTCCTCTCAACTGTGTGCCATCGGGACATGTAATTAATCAGAAATGATTACATGCAAAAGTGTTTTCTCAGCTATCGCCAGATTTTGAGTGGCAGCACATATTTTTTATATGCAATTATTCCAAAACCTGTCGAATACCCATAATAAGCCCAAATTATCTGCATGACTTGATACATCTACGGCAGCAAATTAGTTCTGTTGGTGAAACTAACCTTCTGAAAAGAGTCATGGTCTAAACCCTCTTTTTTATTTCCTCTCTCGCTCTTTTGGTTGTGAAAAGATGTCTTAGACTCAGCTTATTCAACATCTTTCAGATCTTTCTCCAATTATTTTTTGCAGAAACAGTCAGTGGAACTCAAGTGCTTCTGATGATCCCAAAAGTGGCCAAAAAGGACAAATAATGTAGCGTAAAAAAAAAAAAAAGTTAGAAAAATCAATGAGCACAGAACAGCTAGTGTTTGGTTTGGCCATTATCTTGGTGAGTAAAATCAAATATCATATAGGCTGCAGTGCTTTAAACTGAGGCTGATTGATTTTAAAAAGCTTACAGAACCTTGGAGAGTCAAAAAAAACAACAAAAAAAACATCTTTTCTTATATACTGGCACCTTCTTTTGAGTAAAAGCCGTTTCTCCTGGTGATTTTCACATTGATGGGAGCACAATTATGTTCATTCCTGCCTTTCTCTTCTCATTTTCTCAGTCTGTGTGCGTCTCCACACCAACAGCTGCTTCTCCTTTGGCTGGTTTCCAAATGGAGGACGACTGAGGAGAGTGAATGGGATTTTAATTTCACTTGTTAATGCCGCTTTTCCTCATTCTTCCCCTCCCACAACCTTCAGCACCAACAATACAAGCAGAAAAGTTCAGGAGGGAGGCAGAGGGATGGGGGGGGGATAAACAGCAGCTTGTGAGTGACATGAGAGTACGATCTGAACATCAAGCTTGTAAATTAAGAGGATATTGATTAAGCATGAGTGAAGAGTTTCACTCTCCTTTCTTTTCTCTGTTGTTGGTTAATTAATTATGAAGTGGCTCAGAGGGGGTGAGGAGAAATGAAGCAGAGAAATTGCTCCCAGACCTCCGACAGCATGATCCGTCTTTAAGCTAAAAAAAAAAAAAAAAAGAAACTGTTCTCTGTTTAAGGATTTAAAGTGCTCTCAAACTGTATAGGAGCTGCCTTAAACATATATGGTAGAACAGTCAAGTCATTTCAAAATGAGAGACGACAACTTTATACTTCAATTCAGCTGTTGCCAGGGAAACATAAGCTAATTCTGTTTCTCTGATGATCTGCGGTATGAAGCACCTGGCAGGCCAAGATCAACAAAGTGCTCACACATCATTGTGCAATGCGGTCAAAAAAACAAAACAAAACAAAACAAAAAAAAAACAAACAGGATGTTCGTTTGGTATAATTCCCGTTGAAGACGCAGCTTGAGGAACAAACCCGTGCCTGAACAAAAACACACTTGAGCTGGAAGACAACATCAGCAGACATGTCAAAAAAAATGATGAGCGCCATTCTTGTGAAACTTAAAACATCTTAGTATAAAAAACCCTGAAGCCCTTGTGTTCTTTAAAACGAGAGGCTGCAGTGCACCCGGGCGGGGGGTTGAGGGTGAGCTGTGACATCCATCCTAAGTGAGATGGATTACACAGAGCCAAGTGGATTTGAATAACAAGCAATTTACTGGCTCTGATGTGATGCTGCAGAGGTGCAAGTCTCCTGCAAGAGGAGGCACTGAGCTCCCATCACACCAGGTGCTTCACTGAAACCATTCCCCTGCCTCCCAGTGAGCTGACCCGTTCCAACATGAAGCTGCATGACATGTAGACGCTCTGCTTTATCTGATGCTGCAGATATCAGTTTCTGGCTTAGGTAATTATGAACAGAACAGAACCAGAAACTCCAGAGCAAGTCGATAATCGAGGGCAGTAGGAATTAGATGCAATTAAATGGGACAAATGAGCTAAAAATTAAATAATTTAGCAGAAATCATAAAAAAGCAATGACTCTCCCTTGTGATTTGCACCATACAGTCTTCGTACCTATGCAGCAACCAATCGGAGCAAGAGGCAGATGGCCTCTCTGGAGAATCCATTAACCTCGGAGGTCACCAGACTGTGACCTCTCAGGGTCAAACCTAGCTCAGGAGAGCCAGTAATTGTCGTTGAGTCAACATATAGGGTTTAATCTAAAATGGCCTTTGTTGCCTGATAAACTGTATAGAAAAGATGGATGCGGTCATCGTTTGATAGGGGGATGATTTAGGGTTATTCTATTCTTCTAGGGCTTTAAAATGTATCCAAAAAGGGAATCCACCTTCTGCATGAAACACTAAATTCAGTTGTTTTTATGCCTATTATTAAGGTTTTATTAGCTCAAATCATCCATTTGGAGAAGCATATGTGTGAGGCTTAAATGGAAAGAAGAGATGCATGTTTTAGTCAGTTTTAGATGTTTTCCCCTTCCAGCACATCTGGTTTCAATAACTGAACTTTGTGTTATTAACTCTGCAAAGGCTTGGAAACAAACTCCTCAGATAAATTAGCTGAATTCAACCTCAAATGTGGAAAAAGCTGGAATTTATTCATTAACAACTAAGATTCATCGGTAATGTCGTCCAATTGTACATGAGCTGCATGTAATACCAGATTCCTTTTAAATTCAAATAGTTCAGGTTGTTGACAGTTTGATATGTATCTCAAAGTTCCAAAAGAGTTAGCAAAAATATGGAAAAGTAGAGAATTTATGTTTTTTCTTGGCTTCAGTAAGTTTGAAAATTATTTGCATTTCAAGATTTTATTCCCTATTCCATGTGAAGAAAAATAAACATCCATCCATATATCCAGTTTGGTTTATTTATTTATTTAAATATTCCATAATTAGGGCTGAGTCACTGTGAAAACATTTGTAACTCATAGTGGTTATACTTCAGTAGTGACTCATAGTTTGATTAAAAACAATAAAAACTTGAGTATGTACATGTATAAAATTCTGACAAGGAAAATATTGTCAGCTTCCTAAAAAATGGCCTATGTTTTATTTATTCATTTATTTTTATTTTTTGCCAAAAGAGATTTTGTTAAAAAAGATAATTTAGGCAAAAAACCCATCACTTTTGGAGAAGAAAATAAATACGCAAGTCATTATTTAAAGAAGGCAACTATATGTAAGACTAGTTACATGGAAAACAGTAACCAGTGAGTTTAAATTCACTGGGTGAGGTGTTCCCTCTAGTGGAAACAGATCGACACTACAACGCATATTTTGTTAATTGAATATTCACTCGGTTGTAGAGTTATCAGCACGCTTTGAACTATTAAATCGTTTTCTGAATGCATTTTATTCATGCGTGAATAAAAGGCGACGTGAACTCGGAGTCAGAGGACGTAAAACTTTATTAATTTCTTATAAAAATGTCACAAAAATTCTTAGAAATTCCAACAGGTCCTTTGGGTTTATCCACAGGGAGATCAGGCCTGTTTCACAGACAACGGGGAACGAAGCGAGCGCACTATTGCATCATTATTCAATCCTCCCAGTTTGATCAGCTGCTGCGACCTGTACACGAATCCACCAGCAGAGGACATGCTGCCTCCGTTGAACTCCTCCTTCCCTCTACCTACATCCCTGACTCCTCCTTGCTCTCCTCCGTTTACTCCCTTTACTCCCCCATCCTGCTTTCCCCCCCATTTTTTTTAAATTCCCTCCCCATTCTGACCCTTCGTGTCCCTAAGCTCTCCTTCTCTGATTGGTTCCAGACGTGCCACTGAGCTCTTCTTGCCGACTCAACATTCCACAGCTGGAGACCGCGTACGCACATCTCACACACGCACACACACACGCACTCACACCTCCTCCCTTCCCCCTCAATCTTGTTTTTTTTTTTCCTCCCTTTTTTTCACAGCAGCTTAGTGAAACACCAAAAGCCTCAGACTGAAATGGCTCCAAAGCATTCCTGCAAGCAGAGAGAGGGAGAGAAATGCACTCAGAGACAAGAGCAGGAGAAGGAGGTTACATTTTTGAAATCTTAACAAGATGTCAAAAACACACTACAGATGGTAGGTTTCTGAATTTGGTTTTAAAAACTCTTTGGCACTGAAATATGTATATACACGATTGAAGATGTTTTCTTTTGCGGCCGGTCAAAGAGTTCAAGTGTTGGCAATCTCTGCAGGACAAGTAAAGCTGCTTCCAGGTAAGAAAAAAAAAA